CCTTAGGCCAGTGACTAAGCGTTTGTGAAGATGTGTATATGGAAAGTAAGTCTTGTTTATGCTTACAATCTAAACAAGCTCAGATTAATTAACTTTACAAGTCAGTGTACGTATCTAATATTAGTATTATCAAATATATATACAGGCATCGGTTACTATTGAGCTATGGCCCGTATAGGCCAATGCTTGCTCGGTGGCCTGGTTCACGGTCAGGCAGAGAGAAACACAATCGCGGCCTGGGTCTAGCGGGTACGAAATACGGTATATGCTCATTTCAGAACAGTACATTTCTCATGAACTTTTTGACGTTAAGTTGGAAGTCATCAACGTAAGCCGATTACAGTTGGGCGGCCATAAATGCTTGTCCCTTTTTTTCAATTAGAGAGTGTTGTCATTATTGTTGTTCCATGGCATCGAATTCGACAATTTCGACTGTACTACATAGTCTGTACCGTCTTGGACTTGCCTTTAGCAGGCAATAAGGCAGAGCCCTGGTATCTTTTTGATGACTAGGCTTTGTTTCGATTGCATTTGATATTTGCATGAAAGAACTGGAATGGTATCTTCGATTGTCGCTATTGGCGGTGACATAACGGCGGCACAAGACGACGCCCGCAACCTTCCTCAGGTCAGTGCGGAAAGGACATAAGGGAAACAGAGAGACCCTGTGACCATCGATCGGCCGGCGTTGGTTTTGTAGTGAGTAATCCGATAGTTATACCGTCTATTTGCACTCTTCTGGGATTATTTCTGTGTCTAGAAACACTGAGTGTGAGAAATTGTAAGTGTGCAAAAACACCCAGTCTACGAATGAGTTGGCAGACTATGTAATTCCTCGTTTATTGATTGCGTTTCGCTTATATTGGCAACCTCCATAGAGAGTAAAGAGTGGTCTCATTTTGCTCGTCAAGCCAATGTTCGTCTATACACACCTGCATACAAATATCCACCGAGGTATAAATAAATATGTATACATCATTCGCTAAGCCATTATTAAGTGGGGCATTATTAGAATACGCCTTCTCTTTTGTCGTTTTCGCCCTCTTCCCTCTAACTTGTAACAGTTAGCACTTGTGAAGCTGATCGTCGATTGTAGTGTCTGTAAGAACTTCGATTGCGTAAAACAGTCATATACTAGTACGAGCATCTACTTTGCCTTTCGATTATATGGATCCTACGCTGCCGTACGTCACTGGCAGATACTGACGTCGACTCCGAGGCAGCCCTGCTATTCTCAATAGAACGAGTGAATGACTTAGCGTGTTTACAAAAGTACACGCAATTTACGGGGCTCGCTATTATTGTCGTTGCTGCTGCTATTATTATTATCTTTAAAGTCTCATTGAAGCCGCACTTTGGAATGGCGTCTGCGTTATGGTGCACAGTCTATTCTTCATCCGTAAGTATGTATAAAGCAACGCATGTTTGTCACTTTGCCTATTGCGCCAGCCTGACTCGTTCTAATTGTTAAGTTTGCATTGTTTTCGTCGGCAAACTTTGTAAGAATTTGCAGCACGAGTAACACGAAAAGACTGGAGGAATGACATGGGGTCAACACAAGTAAAGGCAGGAAACCCTTTTCAAATTCCCAGAACTCACGAATTCTTTCAGGGTAGTAACGTAGAAAATTTAGACGTGCAAAATTTAGACTAAAGGCAATATCCGAAGAGACGGTTTGCCATGAGATCTTCCACCACTGTTCGAATATTTCAGGCTACAAGTTGGCGGTGCAGCTTCATTTGAACGCAATAAACTTCAGGTAAGTTTTTCGCGAAGTTTTTCACCAAGATTACTTCGTATTATCGAGAATGGGCAAAAGAGAGGAAACGGAACACGACTGGATGTGGTGGTTACTATTTGATCACATCTACAGTTTAGGAATAAACTTATGGTGGAAAAAAGTCGAACTTCTTTGGAGCGTCCTTCTAATGTGCAGTAAGATTTAAATCCTTGACTAAACATTTTTTACGCTCTGTTGAATTTAGTAGACATTCTGGTAGGCTATGTTATGACAGGGCTATCCAGGTACCGCTCGGTAGTATATAAAAAAGCTGGTAAGTCCGTCATCCGAGCTCATAAATAGCCCCAGTACCTGTTTCGATCGATTCTTCTTGTCGGAAATATATCCTTTGTTATTAAGAAATAGAATGTAGATCCATTTATTCCGTCAACTACCGTTTCTGCACTGCCAAATGCTCTATCGCCTATGCAGACTCTAGCATCTATTCAACAGGTCTCAATAGACGGGACTTACATCTTCCGAGACACCCACTCATGTAATGTATGACCTTAAAGACCTTATTCGCGAAGGAATTCCTGTTGATAATGCTAGTCAAACTTAAACCCATGGTAATCTGTTCCGTTTATTCGCTGATGTTTCTTCAGCCGAAGTTCTAGAAATGGTACATACATTCATTAGGTCATAATACACATTTCCCTTAACGATCCCTCGCCGTTCAGCCTGCACATGCTTTCCTGGCAACGTCCTGATAACCAAATACGAATCCGTCTAGTTGCTGGAGGCCCACTAAAGAGATGTCTGCTACCGTCGAAACAACAACAGCAGAAGCAACAGTCCAAACTAGACCAATAGTCATCGCTTCCTGTCACCACTCGGGGGAGTCGTGAGGATCGAATTGCTCTCGAAGACGCGTATATCCGAGCTTGCTTGTTCTAGTAGCTAGCAAGAAGTGTCGCAATTGTTGAAGCTTCTGGTGCTTCGCCTATCGCTCTTACTGTAATCATCTGAGGTTGCATCTGTAGCCGTTAGATAAGAGAAGATGAAGCCGGTTAAGAAGAAGCCATACAAATGAGCCTATGCGGTGAGCAAGCTTGTCAAGTGACAGCGGGTGCTTAGCAGACGACAGGCAAACGGGCAAATACTTCCCGAAGTCGGTACCTACGCTGTTGCCCTCTGCATCTGATCTTATACCCGTACTGAAATAGTAAAAAATTACCAATAATAGCAACATTACTGGCAGTGGTCAGATAGAGACAGTAGCGTTTTTTTGCCTCTTGGCTTATTGCACGGGACTTGCGACGACGAACATCGGATGTACGAATATACCAACAGGATAAAAGTTCTCAACCGATTTTAGAAATCGGTTATTTCGTGTAATGTTTTGGCCAGTTACTGCAGGATTCAAGGTAAACAACAAAAGGGAGCTTGGAGTAGGTGTCGGGCAATGCGAATAATGCCAAAATATGTGTCTGCCAGCTCGAAAAATATTTGAACAACAGAAAAAGATCATTGTCTCTTTGTCCTCGATTATTGCTCGTACTTTTATTAACCAGGTACTGTCCACTAGGTTGCCCAGGGGCGCGCAGCTTGCCGGTTCGTGTTTTTTTTCTCTTCCCATTCCCATCGTCTCCCGTCCACAGCGTTTTATTCTCTTCCGGCGTCGCTGTTGTCTTCTTCTAAAAGCGATCACTAGATAAGCAACCGATGCAGAAAGCCCTGTCGACTCAGTGGGGCTGAGCTGGTCCGACGAACGTTGAAACGACGAGATCAAAAGCACGCCAGTAGCGTTCTATTGGTACTAGGCCGACTAATTTGCTACTTTTGCTATATTCCGCGAGATGGAGCTGGTAGTACTATATTAGGTAATATTGTATAACTATGTGGCAAGCAAAATGGGAAGAGAATAACCGCATGAGAAGGACGCGAGGCAGGCAGCGTTGCTGGAGGCTGGACAACGAGAGCTGCGAATCAATCCGGCAGTTATACATTATAAAGGCAATTATGAAGAGCAGTACTATACATAAGAACGATTCTACCATGCGGAAAATAAGCGACGGCGAAGGTCGGCGCAATGGTATACTTCTAATTTACAGACATTTGACATACCTTCCTCGATGAAATAAGAACGAGCGTAACAAATAAAAAGGCAAACCGGAACAATTTGTTTTTGAGCTTTTGTGGCGTATCAGTTAATAGCTATCGTTCATTCTGGCCCAAATATCTAGCCTATGAAGGTTTCTGGCGAAGTTACATTGAACGTTACGTTACGTACTTTTCTACAGCGCCCAAGTTTTGGTGGCATTAATAGCGCTTGATATTTATGAGCAAAATCGTTCGGCATATTATCGTTTTTGCTGAAGTCATCATCGCAACGACCCGATTTATGCTTTTATTAAAATATATTTGACCAGAAATTAGAGAACAGAGAACGAATACCGAGTATATCAAAATTTGAAAGAACTTATATACCTAACCATCTTTGAATCACTCATATGGTACATGTGTGTGGTACAGCAGATACCGGTTGGGTTTTCATTGAAATGGGGATTCCATTGCAGTGAAAAGGGCCGTAGACATAAATGAGTCCCATAACAAGGGCAATACTCTTATACACGGACTCTCATGCGATACACAGTCCCCGATAAATCAGAGGTGTACCGGGGCCACTTAGTTAGTGGATTTGCTCAGACGTAGATGCTGTTCTAAAAGCCACGTTCTGGCTGTGGTTGAAGGGCGTGCTTTTCGAGGAACCTATGAGAGGAAGACACTGTCTTAAGGGATGAGGAGGATGTAGGCACCCTGAAAGTGCTCCCCGTGGGGCCATCCGTGGCGTTCAAGGGCACTGGTTTAGGCATATACCTTCTACCTTTTGCATGTTTCTAGTAACTTGAACAACCTAACTGTCAAGCATCTGTGGCTTTGTGCGCTGATGGAGGCAGCAACCGAACTTTCCTTCACAGTTTAGTAGAGGTACTCGAACTTTGTACTAAAGAACATCGAAGCGCGTTTTCTTTGGCATCGAAACCTGCCGAAACTAATATTTGATATTTTCAATGAAGGTTATCGACACACAGTTGGTTTTTCCAAGACTCGAGTATATAGCGGGCCGTTCAGGAGAACTTCTTTCATCTTTAACGACATATTAAAGTTTGGTCATCTCCGCAGTTATTACACTTCCAGCTTCAGGCTAGCTCAGCGGTAATATATCGAGGGTCCTAAACTAACAATATAAACATAAAATATCTAAAGGCAGGCTTACCATTTGTAAGGCTAAGTGCCCGTTTGCTGGTTTCGTTTAGTTAACAGTACTTGTGAACTGTTGATAGTGTAAGATTGTAATGTAGCTTGGCAATAAACACGAAGTCAAGCAGACGATGATTCAGCCGATGATGCAGTATCCATTTTGAAGCTGCATAGTGTCTTGAAAGACGTTTGCGGTTGTTTTATCCGTGCTGCTATCCCGAGCCTGGTAGGTTAAATTGCTTGAAAGCTTTTCACATGCTAGCCAAGTTCTGTTCTGTATGCCTTTAATCCATATTTGCCTGGTACTCACTTGACGCCACTGCTATTATTCGTGTCTCTTCTATCTACAACTCAGGTGCTCCTCTATCTCTGTTACACTAAAAATGTTTGTCATTTCTTACACCCTCCCTTTTTTACCAGATGCTACATCGGATTATTTGCTCCCAATGTGAAACGAAGCTTGTCTACGCCAGAATTTGAACATAGACCACCATGCAGCCTTAAATTTAGCGGACAAACACGTTGCCCACTTTTCTATGACGAAAAAATGGGCCTATCACAGGCGTATCTCGGTTACATTATGTTTCTCGTCATTATATTTCTCGTAAATGCCGTAGACTCTCGTAGATTAGACAACCAGACTGTACAGGTCAGTTGCACTCCCTTTTCGCTTTACGGATTCCACTCCGGTCGTCGTAAAGACTCCGCTGTCTATCCTTCCTAATGCTCCAGTTTATCACCGAAAAAAGTAATGGATGAGTGTACTTCACTGATTGTGGCCATTTCACTGTTGCTACACCGCAACCTCCGCAACTTCGTTGCCATTGTACTTCAATGAAAAAATTCAAATCCAGTTTACATATAAATAAGTTTTCATTTCGTAACTATTAGTGGTAATTCTTAACGCCACAAGTATGCCCTTTTTTTGGATAATTATGTCAATTATTTGTAGAGTATATTCTTATATTAATATTTTCTTATTTTTTATGTAAGTGATGTTGTTACCTTTATTTCCTTTTTTTGGCCACACTTGCTTGCGGTAGGACCTGCTGTCACTAACTCTTATAGCGTATGAGGGGGAAAAACGGAAAAAAGAGAGAAGAAGTAGGAGGGAGCAGAAGACCAACCTGAGCCTTCAGTCTATAGTTATCCAACTACAAGGCTAGGCAATGTAAGTACGCGACTTCTGGGTGAAATGGGCATTACGGTGGGTATATCTGACAGAAAATCGGCAGCTGTTCGCTCCAGAACAGATACGGCCAGTCTTGTTATATAATAAGATTCTATTCTTCTAGGACACTTGGCTAGTTGACCTATAATCCCCTTAGTATGTAGTATAACCGCATGGTAAATGCAGCAACGGGACCACAAGTAGGACTAGAGCCTGAGCAACAGCGCCACCACTACGAAGGACGAAAGCAATGTTCTAAACAACATGTTAAAAACAGCGCAGCGACATGGAAGGCCCCGAAAAGTCCGCTTCTTTGCTGTTCCCTAATTCTGTCGCCTTGTTTCGCACTTTATGATTTCTATGACAGGACACGAAGCGCAGCTGTTCCTCTTATGAGAATTTGAAAATTTCTACTCAAATGAAACTAATCTGCAGTACCGTTTTGCTAGTAATGCGCATACGGTTAAGGGAATAGAACTAAATGTATATGTACTCTATGAAATTAAGTTGTTGTTTGAATTCGTAAAATACATCAGAGGGTTTATGTAGTCGTGCGGACATAACGTGGGAGGGTCTTGTTCGAGAAGCAAGTGCCAAAAAAATGTGTTACTGGATAGCTATAATCGTCTTTTTTGCAGGTATTGTTGTGCCGTTATTTCTAAAAAATAGTAATTTTTCTATAATTCTATGTGTGGTCGGTTAAACACAATATTTAAGTCAAGTATATTCGAGCAACATGAAATTTTACAGGAGGTTAAATCCGTTTAGTGGAAGATTTAATAAATCCATGTTGTAAGGATAAAGTGATATCTTTTCGTTGAGCGACGTAGATAGGTAGACTTATCATATATGTGTACATACACTGATCATAAAGGGTCGTATCTTCTACGGTTATATTGTTTCTTTTTTCGTTGTGGTCTTTTTTGTTACATTTATGTTCCATCGCCCTAACACCCATTTTGTACCCAATAGAAAGGTAATTTTACTTAACAGCTTTAAAGCTATGTATTTAAGGTCAACTTTAAATACGCAATACAAGATAATTATCATGATAATTGAGTTTTGTGCACGTACAGCCCTACGTTTGAAGAGGATTGCACGTCTACCGTTGGTGTACATCTTCTAGCATTTGTTTCTCACCATTACCCTCAACAATAGTTGCTGTGCAAGCTTTAATAGTTCTCACTGAGATCTGCCGGGCATGTTGGTTAACCCGCTAGGAGAATGTAATCGAGAACGAGCTACGTACAGACGAGAATGTGAACTGCTAGGACTGCCGTCGCCGCTATTATGACTACTGTTGTAAGGAAATGGAGCATGACAGGGCCCATACGGTCAACATAGAATGCGAACGAAGGTAAGTAACCTAATAAACCTCTGTGTAAAGAATCTTGAATGTGCTCGCCACTAGGTGGCGATGATGGCCGACCGCAGATTTCTCACCAGGCAATAATAGGAGTGGCAAGAGCCGTCGCCGCTGCTGCCGCTCCGACATCATTCAGAGCCCACCACATATGATTGTTAGCGCTAAGCTGGACTTCGTTCGATAGCTAACCAGACCAAGCTGTGGGGGGGGGGGGGCCCGGTCGCAGGCGCAATAGCTAAACTGCGAGAATTCGGTGTACACATAGTTTCTACACAATGAGCATATGTTTAAAGGGCTCTAACCACCAGGCAAGGCAATAGACGATGGGTGCGTAAAGTGGCTTGGGTGGGTAACATTAGCAGCAAAAATAGAAGAAATAGAGACAGTGTTTTGGACCGACGCGGTCAGGCTCCGTCAAATCAAGTCAAACCCGTAGCAACACCGAAGGGTAGAAACAAACTGTAGAACAAAACGTGATTTAAACTAGTGCTAGCGTTAGAAAGGTTCTTTAAAGACTAGAAGGGGACGCCAGGGGGCCTAGATGGGTAAAGGGCTTGATCAAAGGCAAAAGCTAGGCTGCAGATGAGAATTATTGACTTATAAAGAAGTAAACGACCAAAACGAACGTTGATGAACACGCTGGCGGCACAAACGTCATACCTTCTCTCTCTCTCTCTCTTGCTCTCTCCTTTATTCTTTACTTACATTCCTCTCTTATGTTCGCTAGCTGGCCAGCCACTAGTGAGAGGCTGGTGACATAAAACACGCGACTAGCCTGGTCACTGGCTCCAGGCAAAAACCTTGAAACGACATGAAACTCGTGGGGTGCTCGGCTGGGGCTTCGAGCTGGCGCAAACTGGAAGATAAAGAGTTGCGGAGCAAGGGAACGATGTGGGGTCAAGGGGAGATGACGTTCAGATGACCATCAGTTTGATGGTTTTTCGAAGGCCAATCCAACGAGTCTCACCGTTCGCGCTGCTCAAACGTAAAGGCAGCGACGGTGACGAACTCGAAGTGCGGTTAGCAATCGAGAAGACACAGAGTAAAAATGCTATAAGTCCTATGGGATACGTATAGCGGCAGCAATCGTAACGTGTACGTTGCTTACGGCATAAAGACAGTTGCAGCTTGTTTGTGTGAGAAAGAAATAAGAGGGGGGCTTATCTTTGCTCAATGAGCGCATGCAAAGGAACCAGTTAAGGCGAAACGAAGATTGGCAATTTGGTTTGTCGAGCAAAACGACTACTGACTTGCGAACTAAAACAAACAGGGTTCTGGAGCTACTGCTTCAAAGAAGGCAACGAATATGGATAAGGGAAGACTAGACGATAGAGCACTAACCAGTCGTTTGAAAACTGCCTTCACCACGCGTGTATGTTCCACAGGCAGCGAATTCTTGCGCTTGTACATCATGAAGGTAACACTAACCCCTTAGAAAATACCTTCACAGCACGCGAACAGAACGTAGAAGCTTGTCGAATGAATCGATGCCTTTAGAATGAATAAATAAGATAGGTACGATGCTATGTTCTTGGCAGACGTTCCTGACATTTTCATTGGCATATTTCGATAATGTCCATTTCAGTCTACGTAGGACAAACGTCTTCCAAAGGCTTTTAGCAACAAAACTGCGCTTCCTCGTTTTCTTTTAATTTTATTATTTATTATCATGTTTAAATTTTATAATAATATAATAGACTGACAAAACATTACTTACAGCTTATTAACGGTTTATCATATTATCTATATGTTTTTACTTAACATAATATACTTGACAGACATAAATCAATTGTCTGTACGAAATGTTAATAAATGTACGCAATAGTTTAATACACCTCTATCTATTTACGAGCTCTATTTAGTTGCTCTATCTACAAGACTAAAATATTATTATTGCCATACCTGGCGAGTGCGACTTAGTCCTCGTGTCCTATATGTGGACCACTGTTTAGTTCCATTAAACTTAAGATACAAGAAGAAGATCGCGTCTCTTCCGAATAATGGCATGAGCTTCGTTTGGGTTTTTCCTTCTTGTCGACTACGTCCCTAGGAATTAGGAGTCGAGCCGCTCATTGATTGTCGCACATTACTAATTAAGATGTTCGTCCTGAAAACAGAGAGGGCTAAACAAAAACGACCGATTTGGATATGCTGACGTTCTTATCTCAAAGACCCCTCATCGCCATAGTTGCCGCCGCCGCAGTAGTAGCGGCAGCAGCGGCATTGAGATGCGGTTCTATTGGTCAATCCAATACGACTAGATGTGGTCCCTATTGTAGCTTCTATATCGAAAGAGCAATTAAATCTAGCAGCGTCTAGCTTGAGATGAGCGCCGTTCTGTGGTGGTGGTCTGCTTGTGGCTTTGATTAGCTTCGCTAACTCGAGCACGAAAACTAACGACATATTGTAAGGAAGCCGATTGTTCTATTTCGGACGGTCAATTGTCTAAGTCCTATTTTATACGCAAGGACAGCTTTTTCTGAGATCGTTAAAATATCACACGGAAATTTTGAAATATCTGTATTACGTTGCACGTTTTGTTCGAAGATAGGTGTTTATCTTGCTTACGGGCCGCAATAATGCGATACGACTAAAACCGGGCCAACGTATTTCATTCGTATTGCGTAATCGACACACCGATTTTGCGTGATACGGCCAGAAACAGCCTCTGTTAATTCCAAATACAACATATCGAAACAAAACAGAAGCTTTTTTAATCAAAGCTGAATTGCTTCACAGAAAATTTTTAAAAGTGTGATGCTCAGACGAGTTACTGATACGGAACATTATCGGAATAAATGCGATCCATAGGATAAGAAGTTACCTCATCACAATGTTGTGTACAGATGCCAGATACGACTGAACTAAATTAAGAAGTATTTAATACGGGTGTAAGCTACTCTGACCCTCCGGCCTAAACAATATATATACCTATGAGGTGGGGATTTGCTTAATTGTGGAGCTTAATAAGCAAAAATGATTTGAAGGATGTACTAGGCCAGTCAGTATTACCGCGTAATTAAAATTACCTTGAACAGTTGAGTATAGGAAGGGAGGTAGGTAACTTTAAACACAGCCTGAAGGCGACAATCAGAACCAGGAAGTCTGGGGGACCTGCTAACAATGAGCTAGTTAAAAACGACATCAGAGCAAGGCCGTCGGTGTCGGTAAATTCAGAAGTGATTGTAGAATGTAAAGGCTGAATCGTTGCAGCGTGCCTACACAGCGGGTGACGAAGTTACCTGGCCAGCGTGTTGGTGACAAAAGTTTCTTCTATACATAACGAAACGAAGTTGCTCA